AAGTACCGTGAGAGGATGCTCGACTCCGCTCTTGTCTCTGGCTGCGGTTCCCAGTGGGAGCTCTCCATCCGTGTAAGAAAATCTGTCCCGGTTTTTGGAAGGGAGGTACGAGGTTTGGGCAGAGGACAGCCTCTTTCTGACGTGCTTTTCTGGGACCACATCCTCACTTGCGGTGACTCTGTCCTAGCCTTCTCTCCTACCTCACGTCTAGTCTGAGCTTTCGTGATCCCAGGATAAAGGGAAAAAACCCTCTACTTCCTGGATCCAAGTTGCAGCCTCTTGACATCTGGTCATCTGAAACCTGCAGAAACTCTCACTCTTTCAGAGGCCCCTATTTCCTCTCCATAGAAATTCCCTGAGTAACCTTTCTATAAAGGTCAGTTCTCTTGATCAAGATCGATCAGAGGAGGGTTATCTTAAAGTTTTTTCCATTAAAAAATTTTTTAATGGTTCAGTGTATCGGCCTTGTGTCTTTACAATAACCCAGCTGTCATTAGATAAAGGCTTCTTTCTCTCTAAAGGGGATCGCCCCATTCAGTCACCTGCCTGGGGAGAAACATGGGCTCCCACCTCTTTCCCCTCGGGGCCCAACATCCTGAGATGCAGCTCTCCTTGTGACACCTTCTTGCTTAAAGTTGTCCTGCGAGGGCTCCGACGATTATCTGGCTCCCCGGATTATCTGGCTCCCCCCCACCTTCTTCTTTTAAGATGAGGAAACAGAACCCCAGAGACATCAGCTGATTTTTACCAAGATCACGACCCACAACCCACTTTAGCCACATAAATGGGGCTACAGCCAGCCTCCTGGCGCCCCTCTGAGATTCCACCCTCTCCATCCCTGGGGTCCTTCAGCCTCAGCCCCCTCCTATCTCTCAGCCTCGTCCCCTACCATGCGTCTCTGCATCGTCAAATCGCACCACTCATTTTTCCCCTTAATATAGTCCTTGTTTTCTTACTTCTTATTTGGCTCAACCCAGATGCCACTACCTTCCAGACGTCTCACGTGGAAGTGCTCCCTCCTCCCCTGGGGTCCCCTGGCTTCAGGCCATGCCTCTCCAAGGACATCAAACCCTCCAGCTGGTGTGAGCCATTCCTCTGGAAGCTGTCAGCCTCCAGAGGCAGGAGCCGAGTCCTCATCACTGCGGTCTCCCAGGGGCCAGCACCGCAGGGACACACGCCATAGGTCTTCCTCAAATCTTAGCTGAATACAAATTGCTGGGATTTAAGCAAGAAACATTCCTTTTTCTCCTTCCCAATTTTGGGGACCAATTAAATTATATATGCAGGAGTTTAAAATATACGTGTACCTTAAAAAAAACTCAGTTTTATTATGAGAAAGCTGGTTGGGGAATGCGGTCAGGATCTACAGCCAAATAGCCCCCGTATATTAAGCTTTAAAGTAATACTTAAAATGTAAAATACATAAAGCGCCATTTTTAGTATTGTTTTAATTAAATCCCATGATTTTAGAACGTATTAGGTTTGCATAGCAAGAACAAAAGAATATCGTATGTTTTGACTGGGTAAATGGGTTTATGTTCAGCTTTCTCAACATCCCTGTTCCACCTGAAACAAAGGTAAGAATGTTGAATTAAGAGGTGAGCAACTAATTGCATTTTGTTTTAAGCCCAGTTCTCATAGTCAAAAAAATGAGTGTGAAAAACATGACTACACTATTACTAGGGGGAAATTAATGAGAAACGTTTCTTTCTCTCAAGGTGTAATAATTCAGATTTTATCATCACTGGGAAATATTTGCACCAAAGACTAAAAGTACTGCTATGATCCAAAAAACACCTTTTTATATTTTGAGCAGTCAGTGTAACCTGGAAATGATAGGTGTTCAGTTCTGTTAACAATCAGCCAAATAGGTTGGTAATCTGTCCTCTCTCAGAGTAAATTAACCCTTCAAAACTGCAGCCACCAGATTGCAAGCAGTGCCTTCCGCAGTCACCTTGTGGGTGGACAAGCGCTCAGTGCATGAATGCATCTGGGCTTCACTGGGCTTCGCTGAGCTCTGTGTTGAGTCTCTCCCTCAGCTTTATCGGTCAAGCAGGTTACTCCTGCCGTGGGGAGAAGTGACTGATGGGCCAAGAGGGGCCTAAGGGCACCACGTAAGGTACTCGTCCCAGAGGAACCCCCAACCCATACGAGCATCACTACAATGGGAGAAAGAGCTTTTTCCTTCAGGTTGTAAAGAAAGCCTGCTTTGTTCTGAAATCTCAGACCTCAATCCCCCCTTTTCTCATTAGACCTTTCGAGGAAGTCAAGAGAGCCTTAAGGCAACGGAGACAAGGAGACCACCTTGTGGGTGCTCTGACCAAAAGGCTGAGGGGCACTGGTGGCTTCTTTGAGAAGAGACGTTGTGCCTGGGGATGCAGGGCAGCCTGCAGAGGAAGGGGTGTTTGGGAAACGCTTCAGCGTGTGTTGTGGGGGAGCCAGGAAGGCTCCAGCTGCCCCAGAAGAAAGAAAGGGCGGCTATAAACAGAAAAGAACCAACGCTCTGCCTTCTCTCTTGGCTGTTTTCCTCCCGCCCCCTCTTCTGCCTCTGCAATTCCTTCCAATGAATACAATTAGTGGAGGTTTTCATTCTGAACTCTTGACCAAACACCAAACAAGCTCCGAGGGAGCAGTCATCGGTATCAACCAGAAATCACATTAGAGTCTGTGACAGAGACTCCCTCCCTTGATTCAACCTGCAGTCTGGCTGCTCCGAAGCCTCTTCTCAACTAACCCTCGCCTTTTGGACTTCCATGTCTGTCTTTACGTTGCCCAGTGTTAGTGAAAACGCTAAGTCCCTCAATATCTGATCCAATTCCTCGTCCATCACTCTTGGGATCTGACCATGCCAGCCTGCCTTCAGCAAGAATCTTGTCAAGTCAGTGTAGCCAGAGTCCCCCCTCATTTCTGATGCTTCCTCTCAGTCCCTGTCCATCCACTGGCCCCCACCCTACTCCTTGGCTATAAATCTTGCCCTCACTGTATGCAGAGCCTGGTTTTATCCCGAGGTCTCTTTTGCCCGTTCACAACTGTCCGGAACAAAATCTGCTTATACCACTTTACCATCCAGCTCTGGTCTTTTTTGGTACCCACCCTACTTCTAATATCAAATAGGGCCAGTATTTTGAAACAGCAGTTATCAAGTCTCATTGGGAGAAATGATCGCACTATATTTTGATTATGAAATATTTAGTACTTACCTCATGTTAGACGCTGCAGAACCTTCAAAAATAGATGAACAATGTTTTCTGGCCTCACAGGACATTTGATGTGGATAATAAAGCAAGAGAACCAGTTGACCAGTATTTATTACAAATTATTTTTACATGGCAAATAAAAGAATAACCTTAAAGATTTTTTGTTTTTAGATTTAAGTTAATATATTTGCCTGCTCTACCTTGAGGTACTATGGTGATGGAATCACAGAGACAGAGGAAGAAAACAGTTTGCTCCCATCAATGACCTGACTGCTTCCAAACTCACTAAAGCTCCCAATGGACGGCGGAGGGCAGGAAAAAACCCAGAGGGAGACACAAGAAGTCTGACACAAGCTTTGAAGAAAATGCAACCGGACCACCAGTTACACGAAAGAGCAGCTTCCTGGGACCAGCTCTGCCTTGACGTCAGCGGAGTCTGACTGGACGTGAGCCATGAGTCCAGACAAGCCAAGTGCAAACACATGTGGCTTCCCCGGATGCCTCCTCCTCTGTCTCCAGTCTCGTCTCCAGGAGACTTCCGAGTGCCTTACCTGAATGGGAAAGCTGACCATGCCACCCCGTTAAACAAGGCCCTTAGGTGCCTCTGCACCGCCTGATAACACCCCAGCTGCTTCTCCTGGACGGCAGGTCCCCACGATCACATCTGCCTCCCTGGGACTCCCCGCTCCAGACCGGGCGCTCCAGCGACCCCGTCCCAGGGCACTCACCCCGCTGCTTCTCACTTCCCTCCCTCTGTTCATGCCAGTCCCCTACCGGAAAGCCCATCTCTATCCTCAGACCTGGTTTGGACATCTTCCCTGAAGCTTTCTCCAGATGGCCAGGGGCATCTCTTTTACCAGACCTCCTCCATTACAAGCACCAGTCTGTGCGACTGGTTCCCTTTTTGATGCTGTGAGTTACTGAGGGCAGCTGCTCCATCTTACTCATTTTTAGGGTCCCCAGCACCTGGCAGAGTCACCCAGTTTGTTGGGGAAAATAAAACGCCTTAAAGCTGGGAAGAGGGTTCAAGGCACTGTTTTTTCTTTTTTTAATCCTAATCTTTATTTTTTTAATGGAGGTACTGGGGACTGAACCCAGGACCTCATGCACGCTAAGCACCCACTCTACCCCTGAGCTCTACCCTCCTCCACCAAGGCACTGTTTTGCCGTGGTTTAGTGTATGAGTCCGGCTTTAAAAGGCTCGTTCTGCTATTTCCTGTCTGGGTGACTTCAAACAACATTTCCCGATACCCTAAGGAAACCAAGCCTGGTAATAACCCCTCCAACAGGGCTGTTGGGAAGAATAAACGAAACCAGGCATCTAAAGCATTCAGCTCCGCTCAGCCGCGCTTGGTTCCATTTTCATCCCCACTACGTTGCGTCCCCACCCGAGTATCACTCCCAACACAGCTCGTGACAATAAGCAAATCCTGTTTACCCAAGACACGTTTAATGGTAAGAACAGAGATAAAGGTCAACTCAGTAAAAATCAGACCACGGTCTGGGCTCTGCAGAGCTGCACAGGGCCCTCGCCTTACTTCTTGGAGCAGCAGTGTTTCTGGATCTCCTCCGCCAGCCACAGGCAGTGCAAGATGCGCTTCTTCTCCGCAGCCAGTTCCTTCTCAGAGAGCTGGCCCAAGAGTTTCTGGACGAAGATATTTTGATCCTTCAGGAAAATATTCTTATTGATGCCTACGTTGGGCATGTTCTCCAGGGACCCAGACTTGAAATGGAAGCTTAAATGTCTGTTTCGCTTTAGGCCGGGTGCCTTCTCTTCAATCCACGTCAGCGGACTGCGGAGGCAGAAAGGGCAAGAGCGTTAATTACACGCCGCGCAGGTGACGCTTCTGGTACCTGCGCGCCCGGGCGCGGGTCCTGGTTTTGTGCGCATCTTCCCTGCAGCTGCTGCTCCACGCGGTGGCTCGGGGGGGGGGGGGCATCCTGACTTCCACCGGCCTCCCAGAGGCGATGGTCTCCAGCTTTACTGCCCAAGGCCCCCTTGATTGGATTTTACCACCAGGCAGGGGAGTGCGCTGAATGATTTTGGTGTGAGCACCATTTTCGTTATTTGGGAGTTTTTACCCTGAGTCTTGAAGATCCCTCCAGGGGATCCAAACCTGAGATCTTGTGCAAACTGTTGTTTCCAAGTGCATGTACATTCTTTATGGGAAAGGATTCTTAAGAGTTCTTTCATCACATTCTCCAAGAAGCCTCTGACCCCACGCACATGCCAAGAAAGGCCAGGCTCCTCCCGCCCATACACAAAGCACCCGTTTTCGTTTCAGATCTGACCCTCTGGCTAAACGGCAGCCCTCAGAAAAATCTACAATCCAAACAGGACAGACTCCCCCTCTTCAAAGCCTCGCCTTCCTCTGGGTTTATCTTTTCTGTCTTTACAGTAGATAAAAGCTGTGTTATCTGCTTAATGAAAACCAGACAAACCTAAGTAGACTCTGACCAAAAGAAGCTTCACTGAATAATATGACAGGAAAAATATAAAATATGCTTTTCAAAAAAAATTCTAAAAACAACACAGCGTTGATTTAAGGACGTTTTCAACGAAAAAAAAAATCCATCATTCTTTCACCTTAATAGAAGTTATCTTCAGTTTGAGACAGTCCTTCCAAATATTTACCTATATGTACATGGCATATAAATCATAAAGTATAAACACTGTTTGATCATGTTTACTTATTTTAAAATATTTTTATGATCCTACAGATACTGCTCTTATGATTATTGTCTGCAAATCACATATGACCGGTTACAGAATTCACTGAATGTTTTGTTATTGCCCAATATTTAAGGTCTTTCCAATTTTAACTTCCTGCATTCAACCTCTTCACACAAATATATAGTTTCCCTTCCCTCTTCTGAGAACGAAGGAATGAGAGGACTTGCTGTGGGCCTCTGGCGACTTCTCTTTGCTTTCCCCTTTTGTTCCTGCAGGGAGTCAGGGTCAAGGATGAGGCAGCAACTCTGCTGGACTGCTGGGCTAAGTGATGGGAGTTTTCAGTGTGAGCAGGGGGAAGCGTTCCATCCTGAGGATGTGCCAGGGTCCCCAGCCTCTTGTCTCCCGCCGCCACTTCCTCGGATCCCTCCTCCTGTGCCCACGGGCCTGGGAGGGCAGCTTAACCAGCCTGGCGAAGAAACTGTGCCCTGCCTGTGATGTCATAATGGTATCACATAGTGATGCGGTGATGGACATAATCAGGCTAAAGATACAGGTGTGGGGTTGCCGACAAGGGGCCCAAGCAGGTCACTTAGGATTGTTTCGGGTGCTCTAGGAAGCTCAGGGCTGCCTCCAACCCTAAAGGAGGCCTCCCGTCAGCTTATCTGGCTAACCTGGACCTGCACCAGAGCGGGGGGTGAACGTTTCAGAGAAGATCTGAGGTGCACAAAGAGGGAGCCACACCCATACCCACGTGCTGGAAGACACCAGGAGAGATGTGGACAGGATAACTTCCTCATTTTGTGGCCCTGTCTGCTAAAAACTTGAAAAGTCACGCTGTTTCCTATTTACATATTTAAGTGAGGACTCTGGCTGTTGGGCACTTTACTGGCGCCGCACCTGCACATGGACAGCTCTGCCCGTGGCTGCGATTCTAACACTCACACGGCCGACGTCATCAGAGCCGGGGCCACCACCGCTGTCACTCCCCGGGCAGCACTTCTGGTGTCTGCTGGCTTTCTCTTCATCTGCGACCCCTGCCTTTCCCTCACAAAGGAGAGACACCACCCCATGGACCCAGATCCTCTTCTCTTTTTGTAAAAACCAAATGATCTGTTTTATTACCGAGAGACCCACCTACATGGCAACACATACAGAAACACTCTGAAACCCTTGCTGCTTTCAATCTTTTGCACAGCCCGGGAAAATTATGGTTCTGCTTCTGTTTATAAAGACTTGGTATGAGGCATTTTATCTTGAAGGGTGTTTGCAGGGGAAAGAGCTCCGTTTAATACCAGACGGGGCTCACCATTATCTCCGCTTCCTAAATTATCAGCAGAGGACTTGATTTTGAAAAATAATACGGGAAGGATGTTCAAGTAGATTCTGCAAACATTTAATACTTATTTCTGGTGTTGCATATCTCATCATTTGTGGACTGACGGCCATTTGTGGAAGATGCTGGGCACTAGAGGATGTCACCACTACCCAACGAGAAGAATTATCGGGGTGTGTAATTCACCAGGATCAAATTGAGGCTCTAACAATGGAGGAAGCAACAGACACCACCCCAGTACGATCTTATATTCAACCCGAACATCTCTGGGTCTTTGGGCCACGTTAAAGTCTCTTGAGCGTTTAAAGAAAAAAAGACTTGGTATGAAAAGTAAAGATTCAGAACATTTTGGGAATAGTGTGACCGTATGCTGTGATGCTAAAGCCGAGAAGCAGTCCGGCACGTGATAAGCAGGGTGCAGTGTTCACGGCAGGGGCTGGCTCGTTGCTCACAGCAAAATTCTTTCAACTTCACGTGTCTGAAACTTGTGCAATACAATGTTGGAAAGAATTCAGGTCACAGATGTAACTGGATTTCTGCTCCTACATCTGAGACTGATGCACATTTGTGTGGCTTAGGCAAGAGTGATGGGTTAAATGGAATCCTAGCAGCTATCCTGCTGGCAGAAGCAGATGGCCCTTTCTGGAGTCAAGGGTTGGGGTCTAGGCCCCCGAGACCTCCCCATCCTCCCTCGTGAACACACCAGGACATCCTCACCACTTCCTTCTCAGTCACAGCTTCTCACGACCTACCTCTTGTTCTCCGTCTCCAAGCACACCGTCATCTTCATGTACTGATCTTCCTTTCGTTCTTCCAAGGTGGCCGACACGAGGGAAAGCTCCCCGAAGAGGGACACCAGCCAGGTCAGGCGAGAGATGCCGCTGAACGCGGGGAAGCCAAACCGCTCTTCTTCCAACGGGCCAGCTGTGGGGAATCACAGACACGTGGGAACCGGAGGTGAGGGGCTGGCGGCTGCGGGTGGAGGCGGGTGTCGCAGGGGGCAGACACATGTGGCTGGGTGATCAGGACAACATGACCTTGCCTTACGGCTTGGGTGTGCTGATGATGGATACTGATGGAGACTTTCAGAAAGGCATCTCCCTTTCATCTTGTTTATTCAATTCGGTTTGTCAGTAAAAGAGAACATTTGATTGGAAACAGCGGTCCATCGAGCCCACAGGATAATAGAAAAACATTTGAGGCTTGTATGTGTGTGCACGTGTGTGTGCATGTACTGTGTATGTATGTAAACACACATGCACACACACGTGCACCTACGTACACATCCTCTTAGTGAGAAAATAAATAAATGAAAACCTAATTGCCTCCCTTCCAAAAAATAAACAAAGGAATGCAAATCAAACATAACGTAGATTTAAAAGCCCTCACACCTGTTTACATTGCTCTATAAGCCAAAGATTTCTTATGAACTTTATTGACTTAATTCATAATTATGGATATGTTCTAAAAAAAAGATAACAAGTTATAAATAAAAGTGAACAAAGATTGTAAGCTTGGTAGACAACAAGGCTGGACATCACTAGGGCCTGAGTAGCGGACTTAACCAAAGAAAAGCATCTCCCCTGGGCTTCTGTTCTCTGAGAGGGCTGAGCAGACATCCCAGGTCTGAGCGCCTGTCTGCCCCTGCCACGTAACTGCTGGGTAAAATTTGTGAAGCTACCTGCCTCTCTCAGCTTCATTTAAAAAAAAAATCTTTATAATGGGGCTAATATATACCCACTTCAGAGGGTTATCCTATGAATTAACATGAAGTAACCCGTCTCACACACAGCACAGCTCCTGGTGCAGATTGATGGTTATTACTACTTGTTGCCACAACTCTCATGATACCATCGTTTTAAAGGATGAAGATGGATTCTGAAATGACATTCCACTGTATTTTCTGGACTGTCATGAAGGGGTGGATGGTTCTACCACTTAACAATGCCAGAGCACGTCAGGGTTTCCTTTCTGTAATGAAAGCCCTCGGGAAAGGTGGCCCAGATACCTCTGGGTGTAGACAAGTCCTAGGAATCCACCCAAAGGAGACTACAGAGCAGGAAGCTCCAATGGTCATTTCTTATTGCTAACAGAGGTGCTCAGAGAATGCCGAACGTAAAGTAAATCGCTAAACACATGGCAGGTCAAATATTCTGGCTGCAGCCAACGTCCTTGTAACTTGATGGAGAGAGAAGGGAACTGTGCATATTCTGTTTGCTCCACAGAGAAGTATAAACATGTCCTCTCCTCCAAGAACCTTTCTCTCAGTCCTTTTTAAAAACAGAGATCTCACTGTCAACCTCCCGTGGAAAGTAACCTCCAACTCATTAAGGGTTCATGAAAGAACATTCTACCCAGCAGACCGGGCCAGCGGCAGAAACGTACTTGAGATTTCTAAGACACTTTTCCTCCAAAGCCCACTGAGCAATTAAATCTCATTTGAAGAAAGAAAAACAATAGACATTTTTATCATCTGGGGATGCGTGGGTAAGTGAAAGTAAATTGGCCCTCAGTCTGAGAGTCTTTAGGAGGAACGAATGAATCCAAGCTCACATTCTAAGAGTTAGGGAAGAACCCAGCTGGCCTTCCGGCCTCACCAGCCACGCATGGCCTGTGATCCCACCGAAGACTGACCTGTGAAGAGGAGAGACCCTTTCAGCAGGTCCTTCCCCACCACTTCTTTTTTCAGGAATGCAAACTCCTCCATCAAGAGTTCAACGTGCTCCTCATGCAGGACTTTCCCTGTCATGACAAAGATGGAGTGAAAAAAAAAGGCCGTCAGCATCAATGGTGTTATTTCCTTTTTTTTTTTTTACCTTTTTAAAATTGAGGGATAATGGGCAAGTATGATTGTATATATTTAAAGTGTACAATGTATGGATTTGATATACATACGCCCTGTGGAATGATGACTAGAATCAAGATAGTTCACACATCCATCGCCTGACGGTTAAATCTTTGTGTGTGTGATGAAAACGCTTAAGACCTACCCTCCGCAACTTTCAAGTCCATGATTCCATGTTATTAACTATAATCACCAGGCTGTACATTAGAACCCCAGAACTTACTCTTCTTATAACTGAAAATTTGCACCCTTTGACCTACATTGCCCTATTCCCCCTTCCCCCAGCCCAAGGCAACAACCATTCCAACCTCTGTTTCTATGAAACAGAAACAGGCTTTTCTCTCTCTTTTTGGATTCCACATGTAAGTGAAACCATTACAGTATTTGTATTTCTCTGTCCGACTTCTTTCACTTAGCAAAATGCACTCCAGGTCTGTTTATGTTGTTGCAAATGGCAGGATTTCCTTTTTCGTGGCTGAATAATACTCCACTGTGTGTGTATATATGTGTGTGTGTGTATATATATAGCCTTTTTATCTGTAGAAAAAAGTCAGGTTGTTTCTGTAGCTTGGTTATTGAAAAGAATGCTGCACGTAGGGGCGGCATGTATTTTTCCTAATTAGTTTTCATTTTCTTTGAATAAAAACCCAGGAGTGGAACTGTTGCATCTCATGGTAGTTCTAGTTTTAATTTTTTGAGGAGCCCCCCATACTCTTTGCCATACTGTTTGCACCAATTTACATTCCCACCAGCAGTGCACCAGGGTTCCCTTTCCTCTACATCCTCACCAGCACTCACTGTCTCTTGTCTTTTTGACAATTCTGACGAGTGTGAGGATATCTCGTAATTTTGAATTGTATTTCCCTGGTGACTAGTGATACTGAGCACCTTTTCATAGGTCTGCTGGCCATCTCTGTGTCTTCTTTTTGGTATTCTGTTCCTCTGCCCATTTTCAAATTGTATTATTTGCTTTTTTGCTATTAGTTTTAGAAGTTCTTTATACTTTGAATATTAACCCGTTATCAGATGTATAGTTTGCAAATATTCCCCCCATTCTGTAGGCTGTCAATTTATTGATTTGTTTCCTTGCTGTGCAAAGGCTCTTTAGTTTGACGCAGACCTCTCTGTTTATTGTTTCAGCTTTCATTTCCTGTATGCTTGGTGTCTTAGCCAAGAAATCACCGTCAAGATCAATGTCAAGGATTCTTCCCCGTCGTTTTCTTCTAAGAGTTTTACAATTTCAGGTAAGTCTTTTCTTTTTTTTTTAAACAGCTTCATTTGTCTTTGATACATCTCAAGACAATTTTTGTGAATGACGTAAGTAAGCTAGGTTTTCCCAACACCACTGATCGAAGAGACTATCCTTTCCCCACGGTTGTGTTCTTGGTGCCTGTGTCAAAAATTAGTTGACGGTATATGCAAGGTTTGTGCCCAGGATCTCTGTTCTGTTCCACTGGTCTATGTGCCTGTTTTTATGCCAGGACCACACTGTTTTGCTTACTATGGCTCTGCAATGTAGGCTGAAGTCAGGAGGTGTGACGCCTCCAGCTTTGTTTTTCGTCTCAAGAACGCTTTTGTCATTTGGAGTCTTTTATGATTCCATGTAAATTTTAGGAGTTTTTTTTCTGCTTCTGTGAAAAATGCCATTGAAATTTTGATACGGACTGCACTGAATCTGCAGATTGCTTTGAATAATGGTATAGACATTTTAACCATACTGATTTTTCCAATCCAAGAACAAAGGTTATCTATCCATCGTTTGTGTCTTCTTGAATCTCTTTCAGTGATGTCTTGTAGTTTTCAGCGTACATCTCTTCCACCTTCCTTGTTAAATTTATTCCTAAGTATTTTATTGTTTTTGATGGCCCTGTAAATGAGCTTTTTCTTAATTTCTCTTTCAGGTAGTTTGTTAGTGTATAGAAATGCAACTGACTTCTGTACATTAGTTTTGTATTCTATAACTTTACTGTATTTATTAGTTCTAACAGTTTTTGGTGGTCTTCGGGGTTTTCTATATATAAGATCATGTCACCTGAAAAGAGACAATTTTAATTCTTCCCTTCTAATTCGGATGCCTTTTATTTATTATTCTTGCCTGATTACTCTGGCTTCAGCTTCCAGTACTGTGTTAAATAGCACACAGTGGTTATTACTGGCATCCTCGTCTGATCCTGATCTCAAGAGGAAAGGCTTTTAACTTTCTGAATATGATGTTAGCTGTGGATAATCTTTACTACATTGAGAAACATTCCTACTATACTTATTTTGTTGAGGTTCTGTCATGAAAGGATGCTGAACTCTGTCAAGTACTTGTCCTGCATTTATTGAGGTGACCATATGATATTTCTCCTTCATTACATTAACAGGGTATATCACATTTATTGATTTACGTATGTTGAGCCACCCTTGCAACCCAGGGATGAACCCCACTAGACCATGAATGTGCTCATGAAATAAATAATAAATAAATAATAATACATAAATAAGTAATAAATACATTATTTCCACAATGTATTTCTGTCTGGATTATCTATCCACGGTTGAGAGCAAGGTATCGAAGTCTCCTATTACTGCATTACCATCTAGTTTTGCCTTCAGATCTATAAATATTTAACACGTTTATGTACGCCAACATTGGGTGCAAACACATTTATAATTTTTATATCCTCTTAATAAACTGACTCCTTTATTATAGATGATCTTCTTTTTCTCTTGTTATATATAGCTTTTGACTTTAAGTCTATTTTGTGTTTTCTTTTGGTTTTCCCTTGCATGGGCTATTTTTCCATTCCTCCACTTCTAGCCTATGAATATCCTTAAACCGTAAGGGTGTCTTTTGTAGGCAGTATATATTTGGGCTTCTTATTTATCCATTGAGCTACTCTTGTCTTTTAATCAGAGAATTTAAGCTATTTACACCGAGTGTAATTACTGATCGGTAAGAACTCACTGCAATTTTGTGAACTGCTTTCTGATTGTTTTATAGTTCCTTTTTTCCTCTCTTTGTAAGCTGATGATTTTTGTTTGTCATGATAGCCTTTGATTCTTTTCTCTTTATCATTTTTGTATATATTACTGTTTTTTCTATTTTATTACCATGAGGCTTTCATAGTACATCTTAAAGTTACAGCAGTCTGTTTTAAGCTGATAACAACTTCAATTGCGTTTAAAAAAAATTCTACACATTTGCAAGTAAATTTACAAGTAAACCAACCAGCCCCCAACACAATTTTCCTTTTTTTGGTGTTCCAGTTTACATCTTTTTAATCTTGTGTATCCATTAACAAAATATTATAGCTAGAGTTATTTGTAATATTTTTTCTTTTAACCCACATACTAGAGTTTAAAGTGATTTACATCACTGTTGCAGTATTAGAGTATGTGAATTTGACTATGTATTTACCTTTACCAGTAAATTTCATACTTTCATATAGTTTCATGTTCCTAGTTAAACATCTTTTCATTTCAGCTTTAACTCCCTTTAGCACTTCTTGTAATGCAGCTCTAGAGGTGATAGACTCTCCCAGACAAAAGCTGAGAGAATTTATTTACCCCTCACTTCCGAAGAACAATTTTCCTGGATAAAGTATTCTTGTCTGATGTTTCTTCTTTGAGCACACTGGATGTATGAGCCTCCTGGCCTGCAAGGCTTCTGCTGAGAAATCTGCTGATAGCCTTTTCAGGATTCTCTTGTATATAATGAGTCTTCCTTTTTTCTTGCTGCTTTCAAAGTTCTCTCTTTGTCTTTGATTTTTGTGAGCTTGATTAAAATGTGTCTTGGTGACAATTTCTCATTTTGATGGTTGTATGTTGTAACATAATGTTTTTTTTTGCTGATATACACATGAAATTATTGGGGATCAGGTCGGCAACTTACTCTCAAATAATTCAAGAAAAAATAGTTCTTTGTACTGTATTTATAACTCTCCTTTAAGTTTGGGGTTATTTCAAAATAAATACGCTTCAAAAAACCAAAAGAAACAAATCGTTACAGCAATAAAAATATAAGAGGAGGCCAGAAACAGTCATGGATTATGAAATAAAAAATAATTACTTAGGAGAAAATAAAAGGGCAGCTTTCAATTAGTGGACCTAAATTCTTAACCCCTTCATTTCCTCAAACATGTTTCAGCAGCTTTCTCACATAAATTATATGGTTCCCAAAGAACCAATTTTGGCCTCATCTTTCAAAATAGAGTGTTCTGTCTATCATAAAAATAATAATAAATGAGTGTTTTTAGATTTGGGAGGAAAATTAGAAGAAATAAAAGATACTCGTGGTCCTATTTACCAGAAAGAACCACTACTAAGATATTGGTATATTTCCCTCTTGTCATTCTGCTGTGAATAATTTTTCATGGTCGTGATCATATGGTAGAAATAGACTTATATTTATTTTTAGTTTTGAAGTACAAATATAAATTCATGTCACTGAAGAAAATTGAAAAAAATGTGGAAAAGCATAAAGAAAGAAATAAAACCACTTAGAATTCTACCAGCTAATCACTGTTACCATTTTGTTTCATTTGCTTTTTTTCCCCCATGTAGATACGTGACATGATGTTTATCTTGTATTTAAGCGATACAGGAATGGTCTCAGATCCTAGCTGAGAGGTGATCTGAAGAGAATTTAAGTAACAGGTAATCAATGTCACTGTGGGGACAAAGGACCAACAGGAGAGGGGCACTAAGGGAACTTTCTGGAGTAATAAATATGTTCTATACCTTGACTGGAGTAATAATAACATGAGTATATACTCCGTCAAAATTCACTTAACTCTGCATTTAAAATCTCTGAATTTATCTTAAGGAAATTATATCTCAATTTACAAAAGGATAAGGATTTAGGTCACTAATGTCGTCAGATGAATACCAGAATTATTACTCAGTTCCTTCT